CTAGAAATCTATTGCTTTTGACAGATAGTTTTATGGGTCATAATACTTAATAGCCCGTGTTATAGTAATGCTTTCTGAATGGTTTAAAAATGATATTAAGCCCCCAATAATGCCTGGTCCTATGCTGAGTCCTTCATAAGGCAGCTCGGGTATTGTTCCTGTCATGTGAAATCTACTGTCAAGAATAAACTAGAATTAACAAATGGATCTGTGCCATCAATGACAGACATTATAGGAAACCTGTGAAGTGCTGAACTTGGCACATGTGCAAGAGAATAGTGCAAAGAAAGGATGCCAGAAGTACTCCTAACACTGTACTTTCCTATTGACTGTTCAGGAAGGGCTCATGGCAAAGTGGAATTTCCAGGTGCCATTTAATGGGGAAGAGGGCGTGCTTGGAAGCCTTAAGAGGGTATTTGAAGCATAAGGGCTGGCCACAGAGTCGTGGAATAAGAGTAAGACGTGGCTACAGTAAACAAAGGGCTCCCACGGCAGAAGCCAGGGAGATGGTGAGGAATGTTCCAGTAATCCATTCAGAATACAAGCAGGACTAGGCCAGGGCGCTTATTGGGTGGAGGGAACACATGTAAACAGTGTCCCAGTGAAAGAACCCCCAGACTTTGGTAAATGACTGCATTTAGAAGCCAGGGGAAAAGAACACAGTGAATATGAGTTAAAGGAGTGATCACATAGAGATTACATTAGAAGGGAAGAAAAGGGATTGTTTTTCCGTGTTTACAATGATAAACCATATACAGTTAGAGTACTAATAAAATATGGAGCTTAGTGAGACTTCCTAGTATCTGGAGTGTCTGTGTGGAGGATACAGACAGCAGGCGTCTGAGAGCTGACACCCCGCTGCTGGAGAAGACAGTGGACACAGGTGAAGGAATGGCAGGATCAGCACAAGCCGTGGGCTGAGAAGAGCTGGAATGTGCAGATGCGAGTAAATACATTCAGGTGTCCATTTAATCAAAAACTTTCCCTGAGGAAGAAAAGAATTTCCAGCTTCCCATTTATTAAAGCTATATTCACTATAATAAGCCTTTCCCATAAAATAAAAATCGTTTGACT